ATTTCGCTGTTAACGCGCGAATGGATTCAAAGTGTTCAAGCTAGTGCTGTAGCGGCGCGTCGATGACGTCGATGCTTCGACGTCAAAGATGCTTCGACGTCAAAATTGCGTCGACGTCATATTTTTGCGTTTACGCTTCTTTATTTATTTATTTTTTGCATGTTCCCGGCAGTACAGCTTGCCACACACATCTGGGAGACCGAAAAATTGCGGAATAGAGGACGAAGACAACTAGAAGTGAATGTGCTATCCATTAAATGAATCACACACAGAGTAAACAAACCCTTAAAAAAAAAAAAAACTTTGCAATTTAGACGCGCAAACTGGGTGCCGGTGTGGTGAGACGTACAAGCTCGGGCAGATTCGGCTTGAAGTCGTTCATCCTGGACGCGGCACCGCACGCGCTGTTACAAAAAAGGCGTACACAGCCACAGTCTTCCTGGTCTTGCGCACCCAACGCGTCATTTTTGCCGCACGCACATTCGCGCTCGTGCGGACGTGTGGAGTAGCCTATAAACAAGGCTTTACTCCGTGACGTGTCAGCAGCACGCGCTCTGATCAGTAGGTGCACAAACCTCTCCCGATTCATCTCCATCAGTAGCAGCCTCCGATCGCACCACTAACTCCGCCTCCGTTTCCCTCCTCAGCTGATATTAATATTTAAACATTCTCTATGATAAAAACTGTTTGTAAAAAAATATATTTTAATAACACGGTTTTGGCGGTTGTAGAGTTATAGCTAATGATGGCGTTCAAATACATAACATAAGACTAACGTTAGCCAGCTTATAGTATCTCAGCATGCTAGTATTTATTTGAGATGCATTGTTTTTTTTAATTAATTGAGCAGCAGAAAAATATTCTTTATATTAGTCGTCCAATTAGTCATTAGATTAGTCGACTAATCGATAAAATAATCGCCCAACTAATCGTTTAGTTAATAATCGTTTACCCCAGCCCTAGTTCAATCGTATAACTAGGCGCGAATTTGACGCGCTATTTTGCGTCCGGTGTGAACGCGCAGTAAGTGTTTTGATAACCCCCCAGAAAATGTATGTGTAATAGTTACAATAATGCTTTCCTTATCAAAATATACAGGCTGCACAGATCTGTCTTCAGTTCGCTCTGTCTCCTCTTTGATGTCATTACCTTGTAGACGGTGCCAAAGGCCCCGGCTCCCAGAATCTTCACCCGTTTCAGCTCGGTCTCCTTCAGAATGCGCAGTTGGGCCTGGTTTGGGGCCGCACCGCTGGGAGTCAGAGGCTCCACCAACTGAGACACACAAAGCAATGCTGTCAGTGACGCTAAAACCAATCTGGACAATGAACGTTTGACCATAACTCAAATAAATTGAATAGCCCAGACAATAGTGTATGAATTCCTTGTAAGTTATTTAGTTTTTCTGAGCCATTACTGTATGTGTTGCATATAAGAGTTTGGGAGTTCAATCAATGCTTAAGAACCCCTGGTGATAAAGGAACTATTGAAATGCGATGAGAAAGAGAGGGACAGAGATAAGAGGAAAAAGCAAAGAGAGAAGATACAGGAAAGAAAGACTGAAATAGAGAAGGTTAACCTGATAAAAATATGAAGGGAGAAAGTGTGTAGGAGAGATTGGGAAGCGTAAGAGAAAATGAGAGTTTTAGAGAGAGAGCATAAATCAGCCGTTCTATCGACCCTTTGCGTCGTCCCCCGGCTCATCACAGCGCCTGATTAAAAAACAATAGCACTTCTTCATTTAAATGGAATTGTAAATCAGGAGCCAGAACACAGAAGGCGGAGGAGAGCCAGGGGAGAGGACGAGCCATGATCCAGGGAGCTGTCCGCCGCAGGCGGTGCTAAAACACAGATCAGCTGTCCGTGGTGCTGAAAACCCTAAGTGGCATTGTGCTGCTCCAACTTAATATGAATTTATAGTGATAGGAACAGCCTGTTCCGGTGAAAATTGAGATATGGGAACGTTCAAGACCGCATGATGTCCATTTTCACAAATACGTGCTTTCTTATGTGGCATGCGTGGGCCAGCTCCAGATTATTCTATGGAGCATCTGAGGAGCATTACACTCTTCGTTCAAAGCCTGAGGCCATAAGGATATATGCAAGCATGAAGACGAGAGGTTGGAACCTTCGGGCATTGAAACTTGCGCAACCTGCACTATTTATGAACCCTCCCACCCACACTGTGATATGAAAAATAAACAACAATATTAAGAGGATGGATAGAAGGAGATTGAGTAAATGAAAAGAAAGGACATAAACGGTAATCATTAAGAGGAAAAAATAAGCCATAAGTGAGGCCAAAATCCCACCAGCAAGGACACAACTTCTCATTAATGTTCATTTAATTAACATGCAATCTCTTTCAAAAGAGGCGCAAAGATAGGCTATTTTCCTCAGCATTGGAATAATTCAGTTTGACTGTTCATGAGGTTTGCATACAGTAGTAATCAAAACAGACTTAGTTTTGTACTTTTAACTTAATTTTTATAATGTTGAACTACGTTTTGTCATTTTGTATTTAATATCATCATAAAAACAATATTAAAGGAGTAGTTCACTTAAAAAAATAAATAAATAAATAATAACTTTTGCTGATAATTTACTCACCCCCATGTCATCCAAGGTGTCCATGTATTTCTTTCTTCAGTTGAAGAAAATGAAGGTTTTTGATGAAAACATTCCAGGATTTTTCTCCATATAATGGACTTTACTGGTAACCAAACGGTTCAAGGTCCAAAAGACAGTTTCAGTGCAAACTGCAAACTGGTTAAAGGGCTTTAAACGATTCCAGATGGTGAATAAGGGTCTTATCAAGCGAAACAATCGCTCATTTAATAAATAAATAACAAAGTTTAAGTTTTATAAGCTCAAATGGTTGCCTTGCTCTGTTCTGTGATGCACGGATGTTCGTGACTCTCCTGTTGGAACTCGTTCATTAAAATGAACGAATCTTTTTTTGAGTCATTTGGTTCATTCAATGAACGAAATGAACGAATTGACTCGGAAAAAGATTCGTTCACTTTGATGATCGAGTTCCAACAGGAGAGTCACACAGAACAGAGCAAGGTGAGCATTTGAGCTTATAAAACTTAAACTTTTTTTTTTTAAATGAGCGATAGTTTCGCTTGATAAGACCCTTATTCATCGTCTGGAATCGTTGAAAGCCGTTTGAACAGTTTGCAGTTTGCACTGAAACTGTCTTTTGGCCCTTGAACCGTTTGGTTCCCATTGAAGTCCATTAAATGGAGAAAATCCTGAAATGTTCATCAAAAACCTTAATTTCTTTTCGACTGAAGAAATAATGACATGGACATCTTGGATGACATAGGGGGGGGGGGGGGGAGTAAATTATCAGCAATTTTTTTTTTTTTTAAGTGAACTACTCTTTTAAGGTTTTGATAATTAAACAACATATCAATCAACAGATTATGATTGTTACTGCTAGAGAGAACAGTCTGTTTTCTGAATGCATGCTTAAGTTAAAATATTAAAGAAAGAGAAAAAAAGATGTACTGTGTCTAACCTCAGTCTCCAAGAAGCGTCTCAAGGCTCTTTTCTTCTTGATGCTCTTCCTTCTGACTGATATGGCAACACTCAGACCCACAATGATCACCACAAACAATCCCCCAATAACCCCAGCCGCAATGAGGGGAGTCCTGAAGGAAACACGGGAGAGAAAATAAACATTAGCCATAAGCAATAACAATAAACTACTAGGTAATTGGTCCCATTTCACAACCAGAACTTATCAACTGGTTCTGCTTCATGACTAAGATATTTCAACATCGGATATCATTAAAATGAAACATTGAAATATAAGAATACATCCATTTATGTATTTATTTATTAAATACAACATGTTTGTAAAAACTCGACAGACTTATATTTACAGTTGAAAACCACTGACACATACTACAGAAGAACAAAAGAGCTGTACAGATCAGTAGAGAAACCCATCAGAGGAGCGAGCTGAGAATTGCCAACATCCTAAAAATGAGAAGCAACATGAACAAAGCCTCACGCTTAGAAAGAAATGAGATATTTGGTTGGATGTGTCTGCGAAAAAACCTTTCCAACTGCAGTTATCTTGCATCAGTCTTCTCTGGGCTATACTTTGAGGTTTCAGTTTGAAAATGTTCCCTTAGCATTAATTGCGACCTAATGCAGTTAGCGTGGAAGACGGCAGCACTAAATCAGGACTGACTGCATACAATACACAGTACATGCTGTCCTATTACAGGTCTTTCATTAAGGTTAACTCTTCAGAATGACAATTTTACCATGTAATTGTCTCTGCACTTTTTTTTCACCAGTATTTCTTAAAAGCACATGGATATAAAGTAGACTCGCCATTAGGGGGGGTATTATCACGGACCAAAGTATAAAGTCTTCTTTTTAGTTTTTCTGTGGAAAAAGATTTAAGTATGTTCCAACTTTGCTGATAGATATCTTTGGAATTTTACATCTCAAAGTTGCCATTTGTTTTTTGTATCTTGTAGAATCAGCATTGCATTTAGAAACCATATTAAGTTTAAAGTAGCTACATTTTATGCATTGAACATCCATGTGTTGTCAGTTGCGCAGATGTCAATGGAGGGACAGAAAGCTCTCATTCTTTCATCATTTCTCATTATTTCATCAAAAATAATTAGGGCCCAAGCCCTGAAAGGGCGAAGGCCCTATTGTTTTCCTTCCGATTATTATTTTTTTTTTCTTTTATTTTTCTAACGACTATTCGGGCACTTTTGGGGCCCTTAACATGCTCGAAAACTCTTGAAACTTTGCACACGGGTCAGAACCCGCGGCCATCAGAGCCGGGCTGAAAGCTGGTACCTGGGCGTGGCAGGGGGCTCGTAGGTCAGCGCCCCCTGGAACGGGGTCCGAACACTTGGTCCATAACTTCAAACACGCTTGTATGTAATAATATGAAACTCGGTACACATGTTGCTCTCATCGTTTTCATCTATACCTCACACTCTTACTTTTTACCCCAGCCCAACAGGAAGTCGGCTATTGAGGTTTGTTGTAAAACGCTCGCAATGGAATGTTAAATACTCCTCCTAGAGCTTTGATCCAAGTTCGACGAAACTCAGTCAGCGTGAAGTCAAGACATTGAGGATGAAAGTTTTGCGAGGGGATTTTTGATATCTCGAACGGTTTGTCCGTGGCGAGGAAACGAAACTATGGCGAGAAACGTGAAACAGGAAGTGTGTTATTAACTTCAGCATACATTAACTGATCTTGATGAAACTTCAGCAGTGTGTTCGCTGTAGAGGACGATCACATGGATGTGACTATTGTGAGTCAAAGTTATAGCGCCACCAACTGGCAGCAGGAAGTGTGTCACTTTCAAAATGCTTTTGATATCACCCTTTTTATTTTTACCCGATTTGCTTCCAAACTTCATCTGTATAATGTAAACATACGGCAGATGTAGACCTGTGAATGGATTCTTGATATCTTTGAAACTGTTGCCGTTGGTGACGCATCAAACATTACCATTCTTTTTAGGATGCTTTTGAGACCCTTAGCATGCTTGAAATTGCATGAAACTCGACAGACACATCACATTTATTAGCCAGTGGACACGTGCAAAGTTTCAGAAACGGGCGTGGTGAGGGCTCAGTAGCGCCACCTTTTGACAAAAGTTGGGGTTGTTAGTTTTATCTACAGTTACAAAAATCGGTATGTATATTGTACTCCTCGAGCCGGACAACTTTCTAATTGACACTCATTAGCTAGGACCCACAGAA